CTTTGGGTGTTGTCATTTGATTGGAATGATCGATGTGGCATTGCTTCATTGTGCGACTCTGGGTGAACTTTTGCATGCAGCACTACTTACACAATTAGTGCTGACTTGTTCTTTTGCACGCAGGTACATATCCGATTCACAGCCCAAAGTTCAAACTGCTGACAGGTAAGTTACTTTTAATTCATTGGATAGAACGCTGTTTCGGTTCTCTGAATGTGAAATTATGATCTATTCCAGGCCTGCACAACATCACCAACATGTGTCTTGGCATAGGTGGAGCATCACCGAGGTCGTCATGGAAGCTAAGAAAGCATTTTCAGGTTATTGACTTGATGTAAGCTCCTCCTGCACTGAGAACCTATCTCGGACCGGTCTCTCTTACAATCTAGAGCACATATATAGAGAACACAAGCTCCGATCAGCTAGGAACCGTCAATGCAAACTCCTTCACAAGGAGCGACCCGCCCAAGGCAGACTCGGCGAAATTGAACACGGCAAAGCGGAACGCCATGAAGAACTGCCAACGATTGTGCAACTGCCATTCTGACCCCAGCTGTTTGAACTCAACCCCGTCAGTGCTGTACTCGAACGTGGCTGGGTTGTTCCCCTTCTCGGGTGTTACGCCAAAGGTTGGATGCACGTCGGCCGTCACTCGCAGCCAGATGTCCCCCTCGCCAGACGCTACGGCCTCAAGGCCCTCTGTCTCCTGCGCCAACTCCGCTCCTTCTGAAGTTGTCTGCCAGCCGTTGCCGTTGTCAGCCATGGTGATGTTTCCGACGAGCTGGAGCACGAGCGAGCCATCTTCATTTTTGTGTACGCCAATGTAGGCAGAGTCGTCACGTAGGAGAGCGACGCCAGCCGTATCGCCAGAGGCTAGGCTTGCGACGTTCAGTCGGAATGTGGCCGTGCTCTTGGGACCGATGATACGATGCGACAGCGTGTTGCGGGCGGCGTATAGGTCGGTCGTCACCGTGGCTGTTTTCAGAGTAAGTCCATCCGACCCGAGAGACCAGGCTGAGTTGTCTGGGTTGTGATTCCATTCCCATCCTTTCCTCAACGTCTCCCCGTTGAAGGAGTCTGTGAAAGGACCCAAAGGATTCTCCACCGTCTTCTCGGTCTGGATATTTGGCTTGGGGTATGACTGGCCCCAGGCGCCATTCTCATCCGTCACCAGGTTCGGCCACCCATCTTCCCATTTTATGGGAGCGAGGGCAGGGATGCGCCCGAGAGGGTAGGCATCGAGAAAGCTCATGTAATACCAGTCGCCATTTGGTGTGTCGACGATGCCTCCCTGATGGGGCACGCCAGAGGTCGGTATTGGGGACTTAATCGACTCGAGGATGGAATGCTCTGTGTATGGACCCCAGGGATTGTCGGCTCGGAGAACATGCTGCTCATTGGCGGGCCTCGTGAGCCAGATGTAGTAGTATCCGTCGATATGGTAAAAGCGAGCTCCCTCGAGGTACCTCACACTATCTAACCAGACAAACTATGACATTCAAAGGAATAGAGTCAGCCTTTCTGCCAGGGCAAACCGGGGGTATCGAACTGGCATACCTCGTCCCGGACGACACTCAAGCCGTCTTGGGAGAGCTGGGTAACGCTGATATTATATCTGCCGGATGCGAGATACATCGTATCGTCATCGTCAATCAAGATGCCCACGTCGTAGAAACACCGGTCCAACGACCCTGCCAGCTCCCATTTCCCTGCTGGATCGGGGGACGTGTAGACCCACGTCTTGGCGAAGTCAGAGCAGCCATACCAATAGTACAGACCGTTGCTCTCTCGATACCGCATGGAGCTGGCCCAGATGCCCGCGACATAGGCTGAGCCGTGGCCGTCCAGGTTGTACTTTTCACCCCACTCGAGTTCTGGGACCGAGCTGCCAATGTACTCCCAGTCTACGAGGTTGTATGAGCGGAGAATTGGTGCGCCGGGCGAGTAGTGCATCGTCGAGGCCGAGTAGTAGAAGGTGTCGTTGACGCGGAAGATGTCCAGATCGGCAAAGTCCTGCCAGACGACGGGATTGGTGAAGGTATCCTGAGCTGCCGCTTGAGGCGCCATCATGGCGACGGAGGCGGCAGCAGCCAAGATTGATACTCCCTTCATCATCCTGTTTCTATTAATCTCGAGTCTAAGGTGCGTTGTTGTATCTTATGCCTATTACGAATGGCCATGGCCTACAATCTTATTTATAGGTAAATATTTGGCCTTTCTTCCCTCTCCAATTGACCCATTCTGCCTGCATCATGTTGGAGAACCCCAGGTCTAAGGGCAAAATACCCGACAATCCTACAGCCGCCAGTTGCCGTGCGAATGAGAAGCTCTCGTCGCCTCCCCCGTGGAGAAGTGGAGGTCTGCTTCATTGGCGCGCGAATCCAAACAGGATGGCGGGATATTGCTCCGTGGTATTTGCAACCCCGGGGATCTGCACACGCGACACTCAATTGGCTGCCCTGGAAATAGCCAAAAGGCTTCTCCAACTTGTAGAACCCCGTTCCCCAATCAGGCAGTTCAGTTGGGGGGACGCTTGTTCGAGGGAGAGAAGTTGGCGCGGAGCATACAGACAACCGCCCAGACAGAGATCTAGATATCCTGGGGTTTTCGAAGCTGAACCGACCACCGGTTGCTTATGACTGAGATCTAACAGTAATAAACAAACCGCCATCGGACATCTCTCCGGCGTGGCGGCCGGACACGGAGAAGCCGTGTTTGTGGGTCGGATATCTGTTAGAGCCGGTCGAAATCCGAGATATCCAGCCTAATACCCACTCGCCTGGCGAATGAAAGGGCCTGTCATTGGCGTCAGATATGGTGTAAACCGGTATCGGAATGGTAAGGAGTCGTCTGCAAATTTCAATGCCTTGGTTTTCTTTGTTTTGGTGGCTGTAATAAGAGGAGCGAGTCTGGCACACCATCAACCGCCTCCGAGACCCTTTCACCCTAGCTGAATGGATTTCGAAACGCAAACAGATGTGACTCTTATTGTGTTTTTATTTCCTGTTTACGACTAAAGTATAATGGTCACCGCAATTGCTGATTGCACGTTACTGGGCCATTTATCAACATCAATATGGGCAAATCTAAGGAGGTAGATGCGGCCCCGTCGCCAATAAACCAGACGGAAAAGCCTGCTGCTGTAAATGGCATCATAGAAGAAACAGCCGACATCCCAGTGGAGGTTCCCCAGCCTGACAATGCTCGTGGCGGGGACGAGGAGAGGGTTGTTGGGTTGCCACTTGCACAGACGACCAGCAACCGGGAAATCTACGACCGCTTCACCAAGAGCCGCAAGTTGGTAATCATATCCGTCATCTCAATATGCGGCTTCCTTACCCCTATCGCATCCACCGCGGTCCTCGTCGCCATCCCTGAGGTGGCCGCCACTCTCCAGACGACGGGCGAGATGATCAACGTGTCCAACGGTCTGTTCTTCGTCTTCATGGGCCTCAGCCCTATCTTCTGGGGTCCACTGGCGGCTACCTCCTTTGGCCGCCGTAACACCTTCATCGCATCTACCGTTTTCCTCACAGCCTTCAGCGCGGGGACCGCCCTGTCGACGAATCTGGGGATGTATATTGCCTTCCGTATGCTCACTGCTTTTCAGGGAACGGCGATCCTTGTCGTGGGGAGCGTAGTAATCGGAGACGTGTATCATCCGACCGAGAGAGGCCGGGCCCTGAGTATCTTCATGCTAGGCATCCTCGTCGGCCCCTCGGTGGCGCCTCTGCTCGGTGGTGTGGTGATCACATACACGAGCTGGCGGGTGATATTTTGGGTCATGACGGCGCTTTCAGGCGCTGCCTCCCTCATGGTCATCTTCTTCCTCCCGGAGACCATGCACGAGCGGCCGGATACCTTCAAGGGCTTGACCGTGGGACAGAGTGCTGTCAAGCTGGCGAAGTTGACCAACCCGTGGAAGATGCTGCACCCTCTCCTCGCCTATCCTAATCTCTGGATCGCCGCGCTGGCCGTATCGTCCATGATCTGGAACCAATACTCGCTTCTCACTCCTATCCGGTACGTGATCAATCCGCGGTTCAACCTCACAACACCAATCCAGTCAGCCCTGTTCTTCCTCCCTCCCGGGGCTGGCTTCATGTTCGGCGTCCTCTTCGGCGGCAAGTGGTCCGACTTCATCGTCGCCCGCTACATCGAGAAGCGCGGCCGGCGCATCCCAGAGGACCGCCTCAACGCGGCCGTCATCCTCCTGGCCGTCTTCATCCCCGGCTCCATGCTCCTCTACGGGTGGTCCATCGACAAGGAGGTGGGTGGGATCCCGCTCGTCGTCGTCAGCTCGTTCCTCCAGGGCTTCAGCCAGCAGATCGCCCTGCCGAGCATCAACACCTACCTGATCGACGTGTTCCAGGACAGGGGGATGAGCTCGGTGGTGGTGGCGGGCAACTACTTCACGCGGTACATGTTTGCGGCTGGCGGGTCGGCGGCGTGTCTGCCTGCCATTAAGACGATTGGGATCGGGTGGTACAGTACGATTTCTGCGGCGTTTCTTACTGGTGCGGCTGGGCTTGTGTGGTTGTTGACGAGGAACGGTGAGAAGTGGCGGGCGAAGAGGGTGTAGTAATTTAGATACCCAATAGAATGACTAGACATAGAGCACGCGATAGAGAAATTATTCACAATATATTTTCAGGCAAAACGAAAAGCCCCAACTGAGCCCAGGAGAAACTGGGTTGTTAATGTAAATAAAATGGTGGAAACCCTTAAAGTTGACAGTGTGGACACTTATTGTGAGTATCCAGGGTACGTTTACGTTGCAACTTTTGGCATCAGCAGCATATGTATGCAGCTGACACACGCTACCTGCTCCCCGTGGGAAGCGGGAATCGAGACGATTACAAACTCATACCGAACTCGGAGCGGAAATGGGAGATCGAAGCCTTCGTACTGCTGTTACATGAGATAAGACGAGCGCTTGGCCCAGCCAGACTTCCGCCCGTAACCGTCCCAGGCCAAGAAGCGGGCTTCAAAGCTTGAAGATGCATTTAATAAGACCCGAGGTAGACTTCATCAACGTCATGTAGTATTAGCTAACGAACCGACGTAGCCACGTTGTGATCCACCACACCGGTGTCACTGGTTCCAACGCGGCGGTCCAGCGATACATGGATCGAGGTGCCCCTCCGGGTAAGCTCGATCTCGGCCTCCCTCAGCTCAGTATGTAAAGTGGTATCGGACGGCGGCCGCGTGTGAAGCTCCATACCCGCTTGGCTGCCTAGTGCCGCTGATGGAGGACCGGGAGACTGGGGCGGACCTTGGCATGACGGGCGGATTTAGCTGGGTACAACGAGGCGCCTGTCGAGCTCGCCGAATCTTTTCACCGGGCTTTGACACATGGGGTTCAAGTATGAGGATAGGAACTACGGGTACTGGGACCCGGACGAACTATTGTGGTGGCATATGGAGTCATGCAGGAAACTGGTGGAGGTTGTGGGCAAAATTGGGACTTGAATGCGTTTTTTAGTATAAGAATTTGAGGGCTACTACTGAGGGCTTGGAAGCTTTAGCTCGGGGGAAGAACGGAAAGGATGAGTTATGATAAATCGACGGACTAAGTTAGCCGAGCTGGTGATGGTTGCGTGGTGCTACGGGAGATTGATAAGAGCAATACCTGGTATAAGTGTGCCTGATGATATATCATGGCTTGTCAATTGTGAAAAAGACCTTCCTAGCGAGGTTGTCAGCTTCTGAGAGAGCAGCAGCGTAGAGCAGGTAGGAATTACGATACATGCACGCCATAGGCCGGGATCACCTCACGAACTGAAGCATGCCCTCGCCACGCCTTGAGTGAGTGGGTTACTATCATGACATGCAAGCTCCAAGGGACGCTCCACCCACGTGCTCAACAAAGGATCATGTCTAGGTTGCATACCTATAACGGACTGGATGATTCCGGCGAGCGAGATGACCCTGGTAGGAGAGCGGATATGCCTCGGTGGTCCCCGATCAAGATACAGATACTAGTTGGAGAGGAGGTTGGTCTGCGGCTAACATTACGTCGTATAGAAGGTGGGAATGTCCCTGCGTGGTGCATACGGCCCTCTCCACGAATGACAGGGGTAGAAAAGAAAACAAACGGACTTGAAAGCCGTCCGAAATGGATAGCTTGTGCTTATTTTCAAGGTTAACCTGAACAAGGTATGAACGAGGGGTTTGACCAGAGGACTCGAAAGGTTAAAACTCAATTAGCAGCAGAGACGCCACTGGCTGAAGCAATGGTGAGAATGAACCCAGCTGTAAAATAGAATCCATGATAGAAGCTCCAGATTCAATTCAATGCTCCCCAATGAAAAATGATGGAATGATGCTCTGCTCTGTTGCTGTGGGGAATAACGCTGGGCAGAGGTGGCTGGATTGGGATTGTCAGCCCGCAGAGGCAGAGCGGGTGCCTCGTCTCGCTTCCTCACCATTATTTTGGCCCTGGGCTTCCCCGATGAATGATAATAAACAAGCAAGACAAGGTTGAGTTGGAGTGGTGTGGTTGATGTATTGTGCCTGGCGAATAGGAAGCTGTGGATAAGGCACGCGGAGGATGGATTCTCGAAGGCAACTCAACCCCAGTTCCCCACGTGCGGTACTCGAAATCAAGACTTCTGAAGACGGTGATGATCGTTGTTTTCTACTTCTTGCTTACATATTCCAATCTGGCCAAGATCTGATGCCCGGTGGTAGCATTTGGAGCAAACAGCTAGTCGTTGTGAGAAGAGTCAGGCCGTTGAACACTATCTTCCACGAATAACGGTACATCCTCTCGACTCAGCCTGACAACATGCAGCTGAATGACTCTGCTTATACGCGCCTCTATTTTACCTGCATGAAAGGAACGATAAAGTCCAGAATGGCGCCTCCACAGAACATCCCAACTGCCTGATACAGAAGCCTCAGTCAGGGTTAGAGTTGGTTGATCAGCCCGCTAAGCTCCTGGCCCACCCCACTGAAGCTTAGGCCCCGCCAATGACTTACAGAGAGATACCCACTGTCATCATCCGCTACCATTCCGAATACAGGCCCTGTTCCGCCGGTCTAGCGCAAGCTCCAGCGTCCCACCATCTTCTTAGTGATGACGTACGTTTCTCTTCCAGCTCTATCCTTCTCTCTTCTTTGCTTTGGCTTTCGGCTCGATCCTACCTCACCCAATGTAAGAACGTGGTCGCTATTCATCTCGAGCGTCTTGGGAACTTCTGGGCCAGAAGTAAGACGGCCCAATCGCAGCCCTGGCACCACTCGTTCTCCCCATCTTGGAAGCTACTGCAATGGCAGCTCACCCCCAACCCACCAGCCCACCATGTCGTCGCCGGACTTGGGCAGCACTGCCGGCTCATCTTGAAATGATCTCTCGGCTTACAGGCTGTAATGCCCTGTTCCATGCAGAGCAACTCACAGGGATGTCTCGGTTCCTAGGGAGAGACATGCACATGCCTGCCAGTTGACGGCTGAGAGACCCCATACCACCCACGCACTCACTCCCCAGCAACCCAATCCCGCAGCTAGCTCCAAGAGCTTTAGAAGAAGCTGGTACGTGATCTCTTAATGGAGACGGGAGACAGGCATCGAAAACAATAAGAATCAGCCAATTCCTTCTGCATTGCCGATCCCTTCTGGCCCAGGCTCTCTCTTCACTCACCCTCACCCCTCCCTCCCTTCACTGCCACTCAGGCTTCCTCCTCCTCTTCATCAGTCAAGATGCGTTACTCTCTTGCTACCGGCCTCGCTGCTCTTGTGGCCACAACTGCTGCTGCCTCGTGCTCATCCACCAACAGCACCAATGGCGTCCCAGCTCCCCCCAAGAACACAACCCGCAAGATCAAGCGTGTCGATCTGGGTCCTCGCCCCGGATACCTTGTTGATGATATGGATGAAAGCCCTCTGAAGTCGGAGCTCCAACAGTGCCTGGACACTTCAACCAAGCCTTGGAAAGCCTCCACCTGGTCCATCGGTCACCGTGGTGGTGGTACCCTGAACATTCCCGAGCACTCCGTCCAGTCCAACATGGCCGGTGCCCGCATGGGAGCTGGTATCCTTGAGTGTGATACCGCATTCACCAGCGACTTGGAGCTCGTCTGCCGTCACAGCCAGTGTGATCTTCACTACACCACCAACATTGTTGCTATCCCTGAGCTCAATGCTAAGTGTAGCACTCCTTTCACCCCAGCAGCCAACGGAAAGCCCGCCACTGCCAACTGCTGTACTGCAGACATTACTCTTGCCGAGTTCAAGACCCTCTGCGCCACCATGGAGGGCTTTAACGCCTCCGCCGTCACCCCACAGGACTTCATTAACAACCCACCTTCATGGAGAACCGATCTCTACAGCCACTGTGGTGAGGTCTTGAGCGTCCAGGACCATATCAAGCTCGTCAAGGACCTGGGCCTCCTCCACACCGCTGAGCTTAAGACCCCCGAGGTTCCCATGCCCTTCAATGGCAACTACACCCAGGAGATCTACGCCCAACAGCTCATTGACGAGTACCGTAAGGGTGGTGTCCCTCCCGAGGATCTCTACCTCCAGAGCTTCCTCTACGACGACATTCTCTTCTGGCTTAAGAACGAGCCCGAGTATGCCGCCCAGGCCGTCTTCCTCGACTCCTACGGCGAGACCGAAGAGGAACTCCCTAACGCCGTTGCCAACCTGACCAACTACAAGGCTGATGGCGTCACATACCTCGCCCCTCCCCTGCCCTACCTCATCTCTGCCGAGAACGGCAAGATGGTCATGAGCGAGTATGCTATCAAGGCCAAGGAGCTCGGCTTCAAGATTATCCCCTGGACTGTCGACCGCTCTGGTAGCCTCTATGATGTCAAAGAGAACAACAACTATTACTTTATGTACTTCAAGGATGCCGTGAGCAGGGACGGCGATGTTTTCACCATGCTTGATCTCATGTGGAAGGAGATTGGCATTGTCGCCATCTTCTCTGACTGGAGCGCTACTCTGACATTTTACGCCAACTGCTTCAAGATTGGTCTGTTCTAGGCGGACAGTGAAAGCTATCAGTGTGCAGTAATGGTTAAAAAAGATGATGTAAATGAATAGATGAATAATAATAATTTACCCCTGGTCTGAGGAAGACGGAGTAGTCCCGATGATGTGATGCCAGTCCGCGGTCACCGTAGTTATCGTAAGTTTAACAAACTATACAAACACTTAACTATTGTACTTCTAATTATAATAAAATAAAATAAATGTTTTATAATTTTTTCATAGTCAAGAACATTAACAATACTCTTAAAATCATTCATGATCCTGATTATATAATCAACTGTACTCGAGCACGTGCGCCAAAGACTACCTCTACACTAGAGATCATCAGGACAGCCTCACGTCTATTAGATGGTTCCGCATTTCAATGTCTCCAAATGTGATAGCCAATGGAGGTGACCACGCCTTCGCAGTATGAGGAGAGGTCTAGGAGACGCCAAAAGCGTGCTGGGCGACCTTGTGACGCATGTCGCCGACGGAAGACGCGGTGCATCCCCGGCGCTGATGACGACCACGGTTGTCTGCACTGTCAGCTTAAACAAACATCATGCACTTTTAGACTGAATCCTCCTCGGCGACAGCCAATGACCCATGGGGCAGAGATAGACAACCCCGTACTCCCTTCGACAGATACGGCTTCGGTCCAACAGCCGGTGATCCCAAACGGACCCTCACCAACCACAGCAATTCCTGCCGTATCTCGTGGCCATGGAAACAATCTCCAAAGTAATGTCTCTTTGGGGCAGAATGCTCTCAGTCCTGCCTCTGCGGCGGATGCGTCTCTGGGTCTCGCGCCGTCTCGTTTCGCTGAGCTCTACGGCCTTGGAAGTGACATGGAACCGATCCTGATGAAGTACCGTCCATATGACAGTTCGACACATGAGTTCTGTTTAGAGACTCATGCCATTCGACGCGTCCTCGACAAGGATGACGGCCAGGAGTACCCCCTCACGTTCCATGTGGCCGCAGATGAGAAAGCCCTGGAGGCAGACGTTGATCTCAACCAGGTCACTGCCATTGAGAATTGCGTTGTCCCCCATGGACCAACACTTTTGGACCTGTTTTGGAGACACGTGCAACCCTGCTATCCCATCCTATCAAAGGATGCCTTCATGCAAGTATACAAGCGTTCTTTCCAATATGTCCCAGCCGCACTTCTGGGAGCCATCTATCTCTCTGCACTTCGCTGGTGGGGGTACGATGCTGAGTTGTCTCTGTACCCTCCTCCAAACGCTGCAACTCTCCGGAAGCTGATATACAAGTCGCTTCCAATTTGCTATCACCGCCCTAAGCTATCCTCCATCCAGGCCACCCTTCTTCTTCTGCAATGCCAACCCGAGGATCCTCTCAACCCTGGCCATACCTTCCAGTGGGGTCTTACATGCCAAGCTCTGGCAATCGGCCAATGCCTGGGGCTGCATTTGGATGCCAGCAGCTGGTCAATTCCGCCATGGGAGAGGAATGTACGCAAGAGGCTTAGCTGGGCGTTATACATGCAGGACAGATGGACGGCCCTGGCCTATGGGAGACCCGTTCACATTCACGATGATGACTGGACCA